ATATATTCTATAGGAGCCCTGGTGGCATTCTGATTAAGAACTCAGTGGCTATGTGGCAGTCTGCTTCCATAAAGATTCACACCTTTGGAAACCATATGGGGCAATTCTGCTCTGTCCTATGGGGTCGCTATAAGTCAGAATCGACTGGATTGCAACGGGATATGTTCTGTATGTGCAAAATGAGATGTCTACAATATTATTCACTGCAGCATTGTAAAATCAACACTGGAAAGAACATAGAGGTTTCTCGATATGGGACTGGTTAAATAAATTGAGACAGACCTACAACACAATACTATATTGTAACATGATATAAAATTTTTTTTTGAGAGTCAGGTCCAGAGGTACAAGTATGAGATTAATTCCTAGATACATTGTTAAATGAACAAAGCATGTTCTAGAACATCGTGCATAGTACTTTACTTTAATATTTGTGAAGGAGAGAGAAAAAATAGATAAAAGGTAGAATAACTCTGGAAGATAAAAAATACACTTGACAATAGTGGTTGCCCTGGAGAAGGTAACTTGATAAAAGTGGAACAGCGCAAAAGAGAAACTTTTCACTGTAAGCTCCTTTGTACCTTTAATTTTTTGTACCATGTGAGTGTATTTTCCATTGACAAAAGAAATATAAATAAAAAAATGATAAAGGAAGAATTCAATTCTTTTCCTTTTAGGTTCGACTAGTTTTTTTGTTTATAACATTAAGCAACAAAAAAAACCACATCTCTTCACTCCATTATGGAAATTATGGGAGAGAACAGAATCTTTAAGAGCAAATCAAACAGATGTAAGCTCATGCTCCAAACAAGACATTTCCTTCTGAGAAACCAGTGGAATTCAATTAATGATGCAATGATTTTTGATAATTCTGAACTTAGGGTAATTCTATAATTAGGGTGTTTAACACCACTATCCTAATTTGCTGACCTTCCAAAAAGTATTATTAATGTAAAAATAAGTAAAATAGAGGTGGACTTCAAAATGAACCAGCAAGTGTTAGATATTAATAGAAAATCTCAATGGACTTATTAGAGAAAAACACAAGGGATAGTAAATTTTGAGACGACAGCTAGGACAAAATCGCCCAGGCTGTCTAGTTTTCGGGAACATCAAAAATACCGTATTTTAAATCTGAGCGTGATTAACATATACCAAGATATTCTACTAATGTTGTGTTTCCAAATAACCAAAATCAAGGTTGTCAGATTTTATTATGAAAAAAAGTCAGTATTTGCTTCATAACATGGAATGTCACAAGGCATTCAATTATTACCTTGAGTACCAGAAATAATGCTCTTATAGATTATTCACTTTTTCATTTCACTTAAAAGAAAAAGTGTATTTAAAAAAAAAAAAGACTTGGAGGATACATACTAAAATATAAACATTAGTTATCAGTGTGGTTGCGAGTTCCAGGAGATACCCCAGCTGGACTGTGATCATCGGACGTATTATCCCCACCCATTAAGACTCCCAGAAACTCCTCAATAAAATGGTTTGACCTCAAAAAAAATTTAGTTATCTGTAGATTATATATCTGAATGATTTTATTTCCAGCTCTCTAATTTTCCATTTTTTTTTCAAATTTCCTACAATGAGAATATAACATGATGATGGAAAAATAAATAAATAAAATTCATCTGTTTTAAGCAACAACAGGCCTATCTATTTTGTCAGTAGATTTGAATCTTAGTAGCAATTAAAAAAAAAAAAAAACACTGTCATTGAGTTGATTCTGATTCAGAGGTTTCTGGCCATTAGGTTTCCAAGGCTATAAATCTTTACAGAAGCAGACTGCCCCATGTTTCTTCTAGGGAGTGGCTGCTGAGTTCAAACCACCA